AAAAATCACTGACATAATATCTTTTATTTTTAATTAAAATAAATTTTATTAATAATCTTTTTTATATGTAAGTAGTTTTTTGGTATATTTGTTTTATTTTATATAATGTAAGTATTTTTTGGGTTAAAAAATGTTTAGGGGATTTATCGCTCAAAATATGAATGTTCATTGCCTTTTTTTCATTATTTTATTACGTTAATTAGTTTCATAGGTCATAAGAATATATATAACAGGTTTTAGAAAGTCCAAAAAGTTGTTTAACATGTTTTGGGATGTTCAGGAACTTATTTGTTCAAAAAAAAATTGTACAATGACTTAATCATTCCAAACAGTAAAGTCCATTGAGTTTTTTTTAGACTTTTCTTATAGTTTTATAGGTCATAAGAATGTATATAACAGGTTTTAGAAAGTCCAAGGAGTTGTTTAACAGGTTTTGGAATGTCCAATGATTTATTTGTTCCAAAAAATTGTCCAATGACTTAATCATTCCAAACACTAAAGTCCATTGAGTTTTTTTAAACTTTTCCCTTAAATGTTTAGAATTGTTTAACTTTTTAAAAACTCCTTATTATTGTTTTGGCATCGGTATAAACTGTTTATCCAAACACTCAAAAGTGCTTATTACCGGTGTCACACCCGAATAAGTCAATAAGTTGTTTTTATAAGCAATCCCAAATACCCCTATATTAGGTTTGAGATTCTTTAAATTGAAAATCACGATAGAAAGTCAGATGCATTGGGTGATGCACTTCAGTTCTAAAAAAGTGTCAGGATAACTTTACCTAAATACATCACGGTTTGATTCCTATCTCGCTAGCCTCAAAGCTCTGCAATGTTCTAATTTATATGACAATGGTGTCTTGTACATGAATTTGGGAACGTTGGCTTGTCGATAATCAAATTATTTTTTCCTATGTACCCCAAAACGCAGTGGAAAGCTTAAAAGATGTATTGAAAAGCTAGGATTTCCAACTTTTTTCAACACTATATATTGTCATAGTACTTGTCACTTGGGTTGTTATACTCTCATTAAAGCTCAGGGGATGTAATGGAAATCTCATTTTCTTCGGGTTCAAATTTTGGTGCTATCAAACCGCTTGTGACGAACATGCTTTCCAGTTGAGCTTAAAGGTGTGATGTACATCAACATTATTGGGGAAATTATATCTTAAACAACATCAAGTTGTAAATGGTTCCTAACATCAAGTTATGAAATCAGAAACTGGTTGATTTGGCTTATTTTGAAAAAGATGTTTGGTTAGGTTGAAATTGAGATTGTTGGTTTAAAGAGCCACTTGATTGTTGTTGTGGTTGAAAACTTGGTGTTCATTGCTCGATAACAGTTAGGTGGCGTTTGTTTTTTAAGAGGTGCTGAAGTCTGAAGTCTGAATTCACTTTTGAATTTTAAGAGGTGGTGCTGAAGTCTGAAATCTGAATTCACTTCTGAATTTTAAGAGGTGGTGCTGAAGTCTGAAATCTGAATCAGTCAGACTGTTTGTTTTTATGTCTGAAATCTGAAATCTGAATCAGTCAGACTGTTTGTTTTTACATCTGAAATCTGAAATCTGAAATCTGAAATCTGAATCAATAAGACTGTTTGTTTTTGTAAACTGACAGATGGTGCTGAAGTCTGAAATCTGAATCAATTCATTTCAATTAAATTTAACTGAAATATCCAATCATTTAAACCATTTGTAAATTGCCATATATTTTTAACACATTCAAAAATTCAATTGAAATACGTCAATTGATTCAACACACAATAGAAAACACGAATAAAATCTCATAACAACTACAATCAATATTCATTTTGTAATTGTGTCGCAATTTCTTCTCTTAAACTARCCATATATGTTTGGTCAGCGRCACTCCCATGCGATTGAATCTCTTCAGYCTCATCYKCGCCATCGTTCTCTTGTTCGCTGGTTTGATCATACTCAGAGAATAGCTCATCACTTAAACCTTCCTTCCGTATGAAGTTGTGAACCGCAAAACATGCAATAACAACGTCTCTTTGAACCTCAAATGTAAATGGTGCCATTCTTTTCAATATTGAAAAACGTGCTTTCAGGACGCCATAAGAGCGTTCAATAACATTTCTAAGTTTTGCATGAGAATGATTAAACTTTTCATACTTGTTCATTGCTCGTCGACGACGAAAGTCTCTGAGCCAATATCTAACATTACGATACGGCGCCATAAATCCTCGAGTATTTGTATATGCAGCATCACATAGGTAATATTTATCTGAAAACAATAAATAAAATGTTTGTTCAAATGAATATAGCATATATATTACCTGTAAAATCAATAGTATACCTGAAGGAGGAAATAGAAATCCAATATCACCATCTGTTAAAGCTTCAGACAAAATTCTAGAATCATGCGCAATTCCTTCCCATCAGGCAACAACAAATGTGAAAACCATGTTGAAATCACAAATTGCTAAAACATTTTGATAACGTTCACCCTTTCCTCGTCCTCTATATAAATGTTGCTCTTGAATAGGGACGATAGCATGTATTAAAGTTCCATCCAAGGCTCCAATTGCTCCCTACATTAAAGCTAAATAGTCAAAATAAATTTAGTAAGGAAAGTTATACAAATATTATTGAATTATTATTTACCTTAAATATTCGTCGTAACCTTCTATTATTCCTAGGGATGTCTGGATTAGGATTGAATGATGTAGGAACTATGATCTCTTTTGCAAACTCCATCATTTTATCCAACACTTCATGAAATTTTTTATGAATTGTTTGTGTTGAGTACTGGAACCTGTTTTTCAACACTCTATAACGTTGATTGTGACCTATAATCATCAAGAAGATAGCCATCTTTTCTTCGACCAATATATGTTTGCTATCCGTTAACCAACCTTTTGCTTTAAAGTAATCACATAATCGAATGAAAGTTTCACTTGACATTCGCAACAAGTCAATACATTGCCGATCACTACCTTCAATGAGCTTATTCGTAAATTGACGTCCAGTCATTGCAGAMATATTATCTCTTTTCCTTTTTAAACGCCTTTGTCGCAAGTAGAACATATATAAAAATACGACAATGAGAAGTATAGTTTTGATATGATTGTCCATGATAAACCTGTTAAAAACATAAATAAAATTAAAATATAGTCAAACACATTACCAAATAACGTTGATTGTTCAACTTCCAAAATACATAACCAAGTAGTC